CGTCCATGGGCATTAAAGCTGAGTTCAAACTCAGTAGAATCGGAACACCACACGAAAGCGAAATACGAGCTGCCCACATCATACCTGAAGAAGTCTAAGGCGGAATTCTTCACTCACGATATCCCAGGCGAGAAGCCCTTCAAAGTGGTCATCCGAGGTTTACCCGGCTTTGACCCGAAGTTAATCGAAACAGAAATCAAGGACCGCTACAAACTAGCCCCAATTGCCGTCTGTCGGATGACAAGGAGGGACGAGAACGACAGGAAGTATCCGGATTGCCTTTTCCTGGTGCATTTCCAGAAGGGAACGGTGACGTTCAATGCGTTGAAGGCTATCCGCTCCATCAATTCCATCATTGTTCGATAGGAGCCATACCGTGGCAGCCGTCACGACGTCACCCACTGTCAACGTTGCCTGAAAACGAAGAGTTCAAGCGGATCCGAAAGCAGGCGTCCACAAGAAACCAACCATGACGAAAGGAGGACAATACACCGGCATTCAAAGTGGAGGACTTCCCGCCTCTTCGTGCTACGCAACACGGTCAAGCAAATCCGCGGGTGCAATGCGGCCCTTGTCAAGAAACATTTGGTGCCTCTGCTGGACAAAGCTCCCCATTCCCCCTGGATTCTGGAGACAACCATGAGCACAAAACGTCAATCCCGATATCTTATCTGCGGATGACCTGATGAAGATTTTCGTCGACATGACCAGCACTCTTCGTCAGTGCCGCAGCAAGCCCGAACAGATCCAAGTGCTCGGTAAGTTCATCATCCAGTATAGCGCTAACTATCGTCACCTGGAATGCTTGCTCTGTAAGAGCAAAAGAGATTGAACTTGCCGACTTCCTCTGCAAGAACAGCATTGACGTGAGCCTTCTGACCGAGACCCATCTAAAGCCCAGCGACAGCTTCTGGTTGCCTGATCGCACCAGCTCCAGGGGGGTGGTGTTACGGTCATCGTCAAGAAAGGAATAAAATACCACACTCTGTCCCATATCCGCTCCTCTATCATCGAGGCCCTTGGTGTGGAGGTGGAGTCGTCGACTGGATACGTCCAGTTCATCGCCGTCTACTGCCCTCGTCAGTGTGCCGCCAGCAGTGGACTAGTGGCTAAATTCAAGAAGGACCTGTCCACCATCACCCGTACCGGTTCCCGCTTCGTAGTTGGAGGTGATCTAAATGCTCCCAATGAGGCCTGGTGGAACTACAGGCAGAACCAGAACGGTCGTCTGCTGTTCAACCACTCGCAGCATGGGCGGTACTCCGTTTGGTTTTCGAATGAGCCAACATTCATCTCACCGGCGAGCAACCCATCGACGCTAGACCTGTTCCTGACAAATACCGGTAGCCAGCCAACACCAGCCGGTAGCCTTGAACGAACTCAACTCCGACCACCAACCGGTGATGGTTGAACTGGGCTACAACGTGGCCCCTGCTCCAAGTCTGCACAAGGACTACCACCGCGTAAACTGGGCCCAGTTTGGACGCGTGGTAGACAGGCACATCATCGACAAACCGCCGCTTGACACCGTGGAGGACATCGACCGAGCGTTGGAGGGACTCCACCAAGCCATAACCATGGCTGACGAGGCGTGCGTCCAACGAGTTCCTGCGAGGGGTAAGTTTATTGCCATTGATTCTCACACCCAACTTTTGATTCGCCTGAGAAATGTTCGTAAACGCCAGTTTCAGAGGACTGTAGATCTGGGCAAAAAACGTGAAATGGCCGATCTGAACAGGCAGATTGCTTCCAGAATGAAATCACTCCGAAATTAAAGTTTCGGGCGTGTTTTCCAGAATCTGGATGACCGCACCAGACCATTCTGGAAGGTAACCAAGGTCGTCAAAACTAATCCCAAACCAGTTCCACCTCTAAGAGTCGAAAATGATGACGATCGGCTTTTAATCACCCCACAGGAGAAAGCATATGCGATCGGCGCGCATGTCGCTTCATCACCTAGATTTCTCCCCTTGTGTCGTGCCTCCGGCGGATATGATTACAGTACAACAGATTTGCTCAGCACTGAACTGCACCAAGAACATGAAGGCTCCCAGGTTTGACGGTATATTCAACTTGATCTTGGGAAGGCTCAGTATGAAAGTATAGTCTCTTCTAACCGCTATCTTCAACAGATGCTTGGAACTGCACTACTTTTCAAGCATCTTGAAAGTAGCAAAAATCATACTAATACGCAAACCCGGTAAGGATCCAACATTGTCTTCAAGCTACAGACCAATCAGCCTCCTTTCAGCGCTGAGCTAATTGTTTAAGAAACTCATTCCCAATCGTTTGCTCATGTTTGTCGAGGAAAACAACATTCTCCTACCGGAACAGTTCGGGTTCAGGAAGGGGCACTCCAACAATCACCAGCTGGTACGGGTGATGAATAACATCCGGAGTTACAAACCTGTATCCAAGTCCACAGCCATGGCCTTGTTAGACGTTGAAAAGGCGTTTGACAATGTTTGGCATGATGGACTTGTGTACAAGCTTTGTAACTTCAACTTTCCTTTACATCTGGTTAAAATCACCCGTAACTACCTCCAGCAAAGGTCATTTAAGGTATCGTTGAATGGTTGTCTTTCAGACACGTTTCTATCCCAGCAGGAGTCCCGCAAGGCAGTCTGTTGGGCCCGTTGCTTTACAGCATCTACACTTCCGACATTCCTCCCCTCGGAGACGGTTGCGTGTTTTTCCTGTTCGCAAATGATACCGCAATAGCCGTCAAAGGAAGGATGCCTCGCGAAATAACGAACAAACTTCAACGATGCCTTAACGCCTTTGCTGATTATGCAAACACGTGGAAAATTAGAATTAATGCCTTCAAAACACAAACAATCATGTTCCTCCATCGGCAATCGCCCAAACTAAAACCGGCTCCATCTTGTACTGTAATCATGGGTGGCACAAGGGTTGAGTGGTCTGCCGAAGTTACCTATCTCGGGATGTTGTTCGATGAAAATCTCCTTTTCCATTCGCATGTAGAGACAACCGTAGTCAAGTGTTCTGCCTTGGTTAGGTGTCTGTATCCGCTGATTTGCCGCAGATTCCGCCTCTCAAGGGTGAACAAACTGGCCGTCTACAAACAAATCGTAGCACCTGCGATCCTCTACGCAGCTCCGGTGTGGGAATCATGTGCACAGACCAGGCCAGTGACAAGGCCTATACCAACAGCAGCGTTTGACAGTAGGCAGCATGTCCCGGGCTCAAATAATTTATTTTGCTGTGCTGGGCCCGCTGTCACTGTATAGCATGTTGCCTACGCGCCTGCCACTGGGCTGGCACAGACTCACAGGAACAAAATCCAGGTCGTTCAGAATCAACCTGGTCTATACAAGGTGTGGAATTGTAGGCCTGAATGTATTGGTGCACTTCGTTTTTCACTCGGCTTTCATTCCGCTTCGCGCGATTCGTTTCTTTCGTTCACTCAATCACCCTTATAGTGACGTCATAGCGTTTATTTTGATCGGCGCTTCCATAGCAAAATTAATATAGATTATCGAATTTATGTATGTTACCAAAATGTATGCATGGTCTGCCACTAAATGTTGAGATAATTTATTAAATATTGAACAATCACACTGTATACCATAAAAAAAACAGCCGGTTTGTGAGTTTTTGCCTGTTTTCAAGTAAGGAGTTAATAAATCACCAGCTGATATTTCGCGGCGACTTTACAAAAAAATACAATCAAACAAAATCCTCATGCAAAAATAGCTAGGATTTGTTTTACTTCTTATTTCGCAAATTTCCTTTCGAGTGTTATGACGTCGTCATCGTCTCCCGCAAAGTTTTCATTTTTCCCTCTACCAATACACACCTCAGGGCTAGATCTCCACACCTTGTAAAGACCAGGTTGGTTCAGAATAGAGTGCTGAGGATGGTACTTGATCGTCCTTTCGACACTAGAATAACAAATTAACATGAAGAGGCAGGCATTGCCAAGCTAGATTCCAGAATTAACGAAATTAAGACTAAATTTACACAAAAATGTAATATCTCAGAACATGCTTTGATAAGCAACTTGTATATAGTAGATTAGGTGTATATAGTAGTTGTAAGTTAGTTGTAGTTGTAAATAGTAGTTATGAGTAGTTTCCTTTTTCCAATTTAAAACAAACCAATTCCACCAAGGTGGACATTCCCTAAAACAGGCCTGATAGGACTAGGAACTGTAAATAATAATTAAAATATCAAATGTACTAATGTTGAAAAGACGCATTTGTGTCACTTAAAAAAATCATACATGTAAACCACACAAACACAAGAAATAAAGATCATTTAAAGTAAAAACAAAAGTCATTCAACCAGTCAAAGAATCAAGTTGACAACCAGGTTGCAGGGTGTATGGGCTGCAAAATGCAAGCTTGTTGTGCGGTACTTGAAAGGAACAGCTCATTATTGGCTTCGACTGAGCAGGAACGGAAAAGAGGATGGGATTGTTGACAATTTCAACGTGGACTGGGCGAAAACAATCCTGTGTGTCGCTATCAACTGCGGAGGTGGAGTTGACAGTGCTTTCTAAAACGATTCAGGCGGTGTTATGGTTGAAGATTCTCCTGCACTTTACTCGTGATCAAACAGAAAAGAGTGAAGTTAGGTGCATTTAACCTCCCACGGAGGTAGCCGGCCTGTTGACTAAACCATTGTTGTCTTCATAATATGTGCTGTCGTAATTATCACGCGTCATAACAAATCAAACTGTCCCATTACAATACACCAATCTACTTCAGAGAGATGTACTGTTAATCTCTATTTGCCGGCTTCCTAATCTTCAGTTATCAACACTCTCGGTCTCGAGCAAGAGAGATCCAACAAACAGCATTTGCATTTCAACCAACACGTGCTAAGATCGTGCTGCCTGTAGTAATCTTGCTGCTTCATCCCATGTGCTCGGATGTCGCGTTATTTTGTTTGTTTAGAATGTTATCTTTTGAATAAACTGTGCAACGAGTGTGAATCGCATTACTAAGTCACGCATTTTCATCTTCTGCTTTCAGGTTCAAATGCTCGGTGCTCACGCTTACCTATCTTGCGTACATGTGCTACCACATGGCAAGGAAACCGATCTCCGTAGTTAAGTCCGTACTGCACAGAAATTGTTCCGGTGTGCAGATACCGCCGGAGTTCATCCACAATGGTGGTGAACCTCCGAACGATAGCACCTGGTGCGATTATGCACCATTCGATGGGGCTGATTCGGCAGCATTGCTGGGAACGCTGGATTCTTCGTTCCTGTTCAGCTACGCTATTGCCATGTTCTTTTCGGGATTCATTGCAGAACGAGTCTCTTTGCGATACTTTTTGACCTTTGGAATGTTGTTTTCTGGCATATTTTGTTATCTGTTTGGCGTTGCAAAAGTCTACGATATCCATTCAATGACGTACTTTGTATTCGTACAAGCAATGGCTGGAGTTTTCCAAACCACTGGTTGGCCTGGTGTCGTTACCATTGTGGGTCGTTGGTTTGGAAAGTCAAAGCGCGGGCTGATTTTCGGAATTTGGAATAGTCACACATCGATTGGGAATATCTTGGGCACTCTGATAGCTGGATACTATGTGGAAAAAGATTGGGCAATGTCTTTTGTGGTGCCCGGATTTGTGATGGGGGTGTTCGGATTTGTTATGTTCCTATTTTTGGTTGACCGACCGGAGATAGTGGACTGCCATGAAAAAGTCGGAGATCGAAGAGGAGGTTATAGGAGAATCGAAGATGGCAGGATCGGTGAATCTGGTGGTAATTCCGATGCGGAAGAATCAGTGGGAACCAACAGCGAGCAGGTATGGCGGATATAATTTGGCTTAAAGTAGCTGTTCAGTTTATGTTTTTTTTTGCATGCGTATATTTTCAAAAACAAAATAGGATAATCCATCACTAAGAAGCTTAAGAGGCAGCTTTTATTCTAATATTATTGTAAGTGCATGAATAATTATTTGGAGTTTATTATTTTAAATTTTATGTTTGGTACAATGGAACTATTTCGTATGTAGACAAAAACTGTGCTCAACTCGTTATTTTTTAGGATGTAAACGAACGCACACCAATAATAGGCAGTATTAATCGAGCTCCTGCAGAGGATGATGCTATTGGTTTCGGCGGAGCCCTACGGATTCCAGGGGTGGTAGAATTTTCGATGTGTCTGTTCTTCTCCAAATTAGTTAGCTATACTTTCCTTTTCTGGCTGCCGCTATACATTCAGTCGTCAAGTAAGCTTTAGCTTCATCACTGTTTTGTTTTGATTGGTTTATATAAATCTTTATTTTTAGCAACTTTGGGGGCCCAGTTGAGTGCAGATTTATCGACGCTGTTCGATATCGGGGGTATTGTTGGTGCCATCGCAGCAGGTCTTATCTCTGACTACTCTGGGATGTCTGCTTCCACATGCACTGGCATGCTAGCCTTGGCCGCACCGGCTGTAAGTTATCCTCGTCATTATTATGTCCGTCCCTGATAGATATTCATTAACATAACATTAAATTTCAGTTACTCCTTTATCAACAATTGGGCACTGTGTCTTTGTCGTTCAATATCTGTCTACTCTTTATAACTGGAGTGCTGGTTAATGGACCATATGCTCTTATTACTACTTCCGTTAGTGCTGAACTTGGTAAATGTTACTAATCTATGTCTACTCGTACTTGTATCTAATATTTCTTACATTGTAGGTCAACACAGTTCTTTGAACGGAAATTCCAAGGCACTTGCTACGGTCACAGCTATTATCGACGGAACAGGTTCAATCGGTAGGAATTGGTTTATTTTGCACTAATGCCATGTATTTATAAACAATTTTCTCTCCCAACAGGAGCTGCTGTAGGTCCACTAATTGCCGGTTTGATTTCATCTTCCGGGTGGGAGAACGTCTTCTACATGTTGATTGCCTCGGACATTTTGGCGCTGCTATTGTTGTTACGACTTGTGGCGAAGGAATTATCACGACGTTCCAGGCGACGCAATGTCCGGATAGAATGACGAAATGTAGGTGAATGTTAAATGGTTAGCAAAGAAGGCTGTTTGGAGAATTTCAAATAATGACTACCTAGATAATACCAACTGATTTTTATGCATCATGAAGTCGATATATTAAATCATTTTTTTCCTTTTATGGGGAATGCTTTGAGATGCGGATTAGTTACTGTTGATGAACTTGAAAGAACCTTCAGATAGGCTCGTGTGAACTCGCTGTGCTGAAATTCTAGCAAAGACGTAATAATTTTCGAACCAATTTTAACTGTCAAAGTCGAACCAGTTTTTACTGTTATTTTAAGAAGGAAATGCAGGTATTGAAATCTGAGTGAAAAGTCAACTGTTAATTTTGACTGAATGATTATGAAACAAATAGGGGAATGACGGCTTCGGCATGACATACTATTTTCGGCAACCCAAATTGAAACGCTAATTTCACTGGATTTTCTTATGGAAACACTTCGCTGAATGCATTGAAACGATTCTGTAGGCTTTCATCTTTAATTTGATTATATTTTTACCACTGACAAAAATCAATCTAGCAGAGTTTTCTTGAAATGAAACACACGCACTACAAAATGCAGCTGATTTCGAGTTGCCGATGAAAGCACTGCTGTTTAACACGCAGCTTAAATAGAAAGGTTGCCGAATAAAAAGATGTTGCCTACAATAGTCGCTCTCACTAGAGAAGATTGGAGCTTTGTAAAAGCGTTTCAAAACAGTTATTGATAATTCCTTCGACTGAAATTGATATAGCAGCTGGCAGCAAAAGATTGTAAACAAACCAATACTGCATATGTGTGCGTTCTTTAGAGAAAAAGGCAATAGAAAGATGGTCGCTGCTTAGGTTGCCGAGAATACGTAAATTCCCCTATGTATTGTCTGTTTTTTGTTATGTCGTTCTTATGAATTAATCATTTTGTTCGACCATTTTCCACAGAGATGGCACTGTTCCGCTGGTAGGAAGTGATAAAAATCCTCGTATAGAAATTGAGAGAAGTGGGAATAATTCGCTTTAGGTACATATTCAGGTAAAAAAAGTGAACGACAACCTAAAGAAATTAATCATGGACTTTGTCGTTCAGTTTTTTTCCCGGAAATTATTGTTATACAAGCTACAATTAAATAAAAATGTTTTTTCCCCATACAGTTTTACCTGATTTACTACCAGCTCCCAGAGAGCCAAAAAATTCAAATTTGAGAAAGAAAATTTGCTCATACGATCTCAATCTCTCAACATGCCGTGTATTTTGTTGACACTTGATTTGTGATTTCTCTTTCACAGATTACAAAATAGACAACGTATTTGCTTTAACATTTTAAGTCCCTCCTTTTTTACATAATCTGCGCAAAAGATACTTATAGCCCATACATAAAATTCAGCGCGAAATTCTGTGAGGGGTGAGCTATTTTGTGTGCGGAATGTGTAAAAAAGGAGGGACTTCGAATAATAATCTAAATGAATATATAGAGGTACCAGACATGTTTTGCACTGCAAAGTCCTCTGTGAAAAATTATGGGAAAATAGATTGTGTCTAGTTTCCGATAGATATCACCGCAAACAACAGCTGTGACATCTGATGGAACATGAATGCAGAAGCTTGACGAAATGTTTAATTATCTAATCAGAACACACAAATTTTTCAACTGGGAAAATCACATCATGACCGAATTGCTATAGGCCTTTTTAATGCACCACCAACGTAGAGGGCACCATGCGAGTTCGAGGGAAACTGTAGGGAATGCATCCAGAAAGGCTTTCTAAAATGTGGGAATGAAGGTACTTGATACAACTTATTAGAAACTTCTGGCAACCAAGGTTGCAAATACTCATTTCAGCTAAAACAATGTTTTTTTTTTCAAATTTGAAATAATTAGATGCTATGATCATATTTTGACATATTAAACCTAGCCGGCGCCGGTGGTGTAGTGGTAAGCGTGACTGCTTTCTAACACCCCGATGGGTCTGGGTTCAATCCCAGCCGAGGTCGGTGGGATTTTTCTGAGGCATAAAAATCTCTGGTCACGTCTTCCTTCGGAAGGGAAGTAAAGCCATTGGCCTCGGCCCATGTGTGTTGAATGGGTGTGATATCCTACGCAGGTGTGGAAGCTGCCTTCCTGCACATTCGATTGCCGTCAATCGCTGATTGTGACTCATAGAAAGCACAATTTTCAGGTTTTACGTTTCAAACGCATACTTTGTAACCTCTTCTTGTAAGTTACGAGTGAAACATGTCAAATGTCATCATACCATCTTTTGGTTGCTTATTCCGAAAAGCATTATTTTAGCTGAAATGAGTATTTGCAATCCTGCTGGCAACATTGCTTTTGAGGAGAGTTGTGAATGGAGAGAATCGTTATTGAAATATCAAGTCATTTATTGGTCTATTCTTGGTTCGTACGGATGGTTATTTTCGAAGCATCCAGAAAGGCATTCCAAAATGCGTCGTCGAATCACGACAGAAACGTCAAACAAACCGTTTCTTTACATCAGAAGAAGGATTTTTCACAACGTAAATTAAAGCATTTTTCGTTGAACATCTTGCCAATTTCCATCAGTAATCGTCTTGTTTTACGATGTTCCACACATCTGCACTGATTTGCATCTAAACTATTCGCACACAAGAAATCCGAAAGATCAAAACCACTAAGGCACTGGAATTTTGCATTTTTCCAACAAAAATATTCATAAACACTAGCAGAATCCTCGCAAAAATGAATCAATTTATCAGGAAAAGTGAAAAAGTGTTCCGCTTCCAATGCCTCACGGCAAAAATGTCTGCTCACAACACTCTTTTTGACGTTCTCATATTTACCACCATCCCACTGCGTCCTAGCAAGATGTACGGTCGACTTGTTTCGCGCTCCGTTGTTTTGGAAGTTTTTTCGGTATTCGCTTGATATAATTTATCAGTTTTTTTCTCACTAAGTGACTCCTGGCATAGTTCCCGGTAAATTGATTGAAAAGTGAGTTTTTTTTAGTAGAAAGTGTCATTTTCGGAAAGATTAATCCGTGCTATTGGAAATTCGCAAACAAATTTGGACATCATCGTTGCGTGGTCACGCATACGCGCTTACGCATACCCGCTCACGTATCATCATCATCGAGTGTGAGCACCCGTTTCTACATCTTCATCGTTCATCAATCATCGTGCGCCTGTGTGCGCTGAGTGCCGCGCCTCGATCAAGTGCACCATAGCGAAGGTCATCCACGCTGCGCGTCGCTTCCCAGTCATCTGTGTAAACGCCTACACATATAACGCTCGGTGGTAGTAGTATAGGATTATCAGATAAGTTTTTGTTTTTTCCTTGTTTCTTTTACTCCCCCATTAGTCAAATTTTCATTTTGTATTTCTGTGTTGTAGTGTTTTCTGTGTATTGTGTCTGTGCGTTCAGTGGGAGAGCGTTTTGCGCTCCCACTAGTTGAACAAAATGGATGTTTTGTCAGAAGACGACATGGATGACCATTCATCTCAGAAGAATGATGATGTCATCCCTGGTTCGTCGTCTCAGTCTGTCGATGGGCAGGCTGAGAAAAGCACCAGATTGCGGGCCTACCCGAATGACTCGACTGGCCCATGGGTTGTCTATTTTCAGCCCAAAAACAAACCCTTGAATGTTGTTCAGATATCTGATGATCTGACAAAGCGATTCTCTGCCGTGACCGAAATAACGAAGGTTAGGCACAACAAACTTCGTGTGACCGTCGCTAACCTGAAACAGGCCAATGAAATTGCTGTTTCCCAATTTTTCACACTGGAATATAGGGTGTACATTCCAGCCTCTGATGTGGAGATCGAAGGCGTGGTCACTGAGGCGAGTCTGAACCCCGAGATACTGGAGAAGCAAGCGGTTGGCCGATTCAAGAACCCCTTGCTTCCTCCGGTAAAGATACTGGCCGTTCATAGAATGAAGTCAGTATCGCTCAGCGAGGGTAAAAAGAGTTTTACCCCCACAGACTCGTTTCGGGTGACCTTTTCTGGATCTGCCCTTCCTCAATACATCGAGCTGGGAAAACTTCGTCTTCCTGTGCGGTTGTTTGTACCTCGGGTCATGAACTGCCAGCATTGTAAGCGGTTGGGACATACGGCCTCCCACTGCGGCAACAAGGCACGCTGCTCCAAATGCGGGGAGAAGCATGAGGATGGCGCCTGCGCAGCTACTGCACCAAAATGCGTGTACTGCAACGGAACTCCTCCTCATGCTCTCTCGTCGTGCCCGGCGTACAAACAGCTCGGGGACAAAATGAAACGCTCCCTTAAGGAACGTTCCAGGCGGTCTTTTGCAAAAATGCTTAAGACAGCCACGCCATCGACCAATGACAAAAATCCCTTTTCTCTTTTGTCAGATGACGAGACTGACTCTGACTTGGCTGAGGAGGGAACTTCTTTCTGTTTTCCGGAAGGTTCTGCACGGAAACGAAAGCGCATCCGTTCGCGGATTGTTGCAAATAAAGAACCCCAAATCAGCTTGCCTAAATCAAGGAGTGGTGGAAAAAAGGAGACTTCTACTCCTCCTGGATTCCGCAGAACTGACTATACCCAGGATTTTCCACCACTTCCGGGGACATCCAAAACCCCTGATGCCCCAATTTTAAGAACAGAAACCCCTTCTTCATCTGGGTTGTTCTCATTTGATGACATTGTGGACGGTATTCTCAAATACCTCAACATTTCTGATCCTCTGAAAAGCATTGTCCTCACATTGCTTCCCACTGTGAAATCCTTCTTGAAGCAATTGACTTCAAAATGGCCCCTTCTTGCAGCTATCATCTCCTTCGATGGATAATTTTCCAAACGAGGTCGGGGATTTGATCACTGTTCTACAGTGGAATTGTCGAAGTCTTATTCCGAAATTAGATTCGTTCAAGTATTTAGTCCATAACAATAATTGCGATGCATTTGCCCTCTGTGAAACATGGCTCTCTTCAGAAATTGATCTCCCTTTTTACGATTTTAACATTATTCGATTGGATCGTGAGGATTCACGTGGAGGAGGGGTACTTTTGGGGATCAAAAAGTGCCATTCCTTCTATAGAGTGAATCTTCCCGAATTCCCTGGTATTGAAGTTGTCGCCTGTCAGGCTACCATTAAAGGTAAGAGCCTTTGTATTGCTTCTGTATATATTGCTCCTAGAGTCTCTGTTAATCGCAA